TATATATATATATATATATATATATATATATATATAATTTGTATATTAATGAAAAAGTATATTCCTAGTAGGCCTATATCCACTACTCAAAGTCAGTTTTAATGTCATTTTATCTTCACAGCAAAAAAATGTACAACAGGGCTATTACACTACATTATAATAGTGTTCAGTCTTGAATATTTGGCTGGATCTTTGGGCTTTCTCCTTTTTCATCAGTGTTTGCACATTTTTGGCTTAAGTAAGCAGATATGATGGGTAAAAATGCAGATACAAAAAAATTAAATAGCCTTAGTGCGAGTTATGAATATACGTATGAACAATGAACTGAATGAAAGAATGATGAACAATAAAATTGAAAAAGTAAATTACATTGTAAAAAATATGGTTATTATAGACTATTTGATTTTTTTTTTTTAGCCTACATCTTTTTGTAGCCTATGTATTGCATTAATTTGCATTGTATCAAGCACTTATCAGATCCGTATTTAATCTAATTGAACCAGCATTAAACCTAGCTCCAAATCCCAAACACCTCTGGGGTCTTCCGCTATGATCGCACTGATGCAGGAGACTGTGTGAGCGTGTGTGTCTATGTGTGTGTTATAATGTTGCCATTTACGCCCTTTTTTAAACGATTTTGCCCTTGATTTTCAAAAAGCGGTTTATAAATATGAGTAGCTGCTATTTTCTGGACATATCAACTTCGGGAAGTCGTGGCCTAATGGTTAGAGAGTCGGACTCATAGCAGAAAGGTTGTGGGTTCGAGTCTCGTACCGGCAGGGATTGTAGGTGGGGGGAGTGAATGTACAGCGCTCTCTCCCACCTTCAATACCACGACTGAGGTGCCCTTGAGCAAGGCGAGCAAGTGAACCCCCAACTGCTCCCCGGGCGCTGCAGCATAAATGGCTGCCCACTGCTCCGGGTGTGTGTTCACGGTGTGTGTGTGTTCACTGCTGTGTGTGTGCACTTTTGATGGGTAAATGCAGAGCACTAATTCCGAGTATGGGTCACCATACTTGGCCACATGTCACTTCACTTCTTCACTTCACTTCACTTTTTTTCTAATAGTTTAAATTATTTAAGGACGATTATGTATGCATAAGACACAGAAACTATTATAATGCACGGCATCATTTTTTTTCTAAAGTTGAATTAATTAAATTGTAACACATTTTTCTTTGTTCAGTGGGCCTATTATTTTATTAAATCGCCTATATAGGCCTATAGGTAGGCCTATTTAGAGTCAATTAGCCTACTGGATCGCATTTAAGTCTGTGTAAACACACATTGTATTACATTTATTTCTCTAATTTAAAATAATTGTATCATTTGCAATCAGAACGCTGAGAAAATTCTTAAAGAACTGCATTTATTAAAGTAGTCTATTACAGTTTTTCTCAGTCGCTTTGGTACATTTCTCGAATCATCCTTGACATTTGCAAAACAGTAAGTGCATTTCTCAAAACAACTCGTACAAATAGCAAAACACCATGGATTACCTGCAAAAGCCAGTCTCTTACTCAAAATCCTTAAGTTCATCTCTCAAAAATAAATATCTGTCAATGAACATGTCAGTGCCATCAGAATGACAAGTCCTTGTGTCATTGTGTACGGATAAGACCGTCAAATTGCTTAGTCATGTTGTCAATATAACAGTGTACTCTGGAGGGATGTTCTGATGTAAACTATGGCTACAGTTTTGATGACAATTATTGTAAATTGTAGGTTACACCTTAGTGTATGTGGG